TTCTTGACTGACATTCCTACATGATAGTAAATGACGATTGGACATACTTAAACAGCCCATTTTCTTAAGCTTATGTCTTATGTGAAATCCTATCTCTTCTTTTGAGACTGAGTATTAGACGTAGCCATGAATTTTGTACCTTTTGGATACAAAAGGCATCAGATTTCCGAAGAAAAGGACCATAAACTATGTCACAATGGTTGAAATGTTATAATACCATCGACTCGTGTAACATTTTTCTTATTTTTGAATTAATTTCATTTCGATGAGGATATAACAATTTAAGAGCTGCGTATGCCGTTTTCAGTTCAGAAGTGACATGTTTAATCTACAGAAATGAACTTTAAATCCTCAAGCCTGTCTCGGACATACCTACACAGTGGGTTGAATGGACTGACGCCTATCAGAAAACAACCAGGTACTCCCTTGGCTAATACAACGAAGGACGTTGGATTATATCCGACAGGCGTCAGTGCAGGATTCTCCACAGAAAATTTCCTGGATATGCAATTGGCAATACAACTGAAAGAGTCGACCTTCAATTTTGGAACAAGCACATTTGCAGACCGGTTTCGGGCTCACTAGCCACTCATCAGTGCAAGATAGTTGCCATCATCGACCTTAAGTCAATGATATTCCTTCCTCATTCAGAGGAATCGGGCAAATTTCAGATATGCAGTTGGTTAATACCTCGTCCACTAGATGGAGTGACATTTTGTTGTACGCTCCAACGAGGAATGAAATACTCTGAAAGAATTTAGATTCTCAATTATAGAATATCTTTGACTTTAGGTCGATGGTGGCCACTATCTTGCACTGATGAGTGGCTAATGAGCCCGAAACCGGTCTGCAAGTGTGCCCGTTCCAAAATTGAAGGTCAACTCTTCCAGTTGTATTTCCAATTGCATATGCAGGAAATTTTCTGTGGAGATTCCTGCACTGACGGATATAATCCAACGTTCTACGGGGTATTAGCCAGGAGAGTAGTTGTTTTCTGATAGGCGTCAGTCCATTAAACCTACTGTGTAGGTATATAGAGACTGGCTTGAACGTTTGAAGNGTTTAAACGGGTGATTTTTTGGTCGTAAATGCTACGACCAAACATAAATCACCTAAGAACGTTCATTATTGAAACTATGAATTTATCATTGGAAACCAATTATGTGAATACTAAGACCGAACTTAGACCAAAGAATAGATTCAACTGTATTTTGTATATTGTTCAATAAATTGTCCAATGTTTCTAGAGTTATTAGCTTAAAACATATTTAAAATCTGTTTTTCCGTTAACCAGCTGTCGCACCCCTACGAACGACAACCCTCAGAAGGCGAAACTTGTGCGAGCTGAGGACTAACGAGGTTTAACTTTTTAACATGTGATTCCTAATACAAGTTGGACGATAGCAAGTGAAAATCGATCGTTCAGCCTACGGCTTGATCCACCGATTCACATATCGGTCGATTGAGAGAGTGAAGCACCCACGTCGAACCGACCAGCCTGACCTGGTCTGCAGGTTTTTATACCTGACGTTTCTGCTACTGCGGTAGAAATTATCAAAGGCGACGCGGCAACGGTCGTCTTGTTGCGATGCGCAAAATGAAAATGGTCCTGGTGCATCAGTACTTATACTGGGACTCGGTGTTGGAACTTCGACTACTTTTGTACCTGAATGGTTTTTCAAGTATTGGGAGAATATTTGTGTTATGAAGTGCAGGTATCTAAATTTTGTTGATGTTGAAGTTCTCTTCCTTATAATTGAAACTATTCTTACGTTTATGTATTTCTATGTCCTCTCTAAATAGCAACGGATAGTACTCTTCGGTTCTATCAGGAACTTGCGTACGTTCGAAGCCAATGTCATGGCTGCTCTCTGACAGAGTTTGTTTTGCAACTGACGATTTACCTTATTGGCTCTAGCGGCAACTTCTTTCATGGTCACTGACCGGTTGACTGAGCATGGAAGCATAATGGCATCAGCATATTCTTGTAGTAAAAGCAATGCTAAGTAAAGGCTGATGGGACATATTTGTTGATAAGTGGAAAAACATCTATATTTACCGTATATGTTCGAAACAGCGTTATGTTAAGACACTGTATTGGAGTCTGAAACTCCAACTGAAAATTGGACGGTCTGACGTCACTTTCCCTCAATGCTGAGGTCATTCCATTTGGAACGGAGATGAAATATCTTGGTATTGTCCTTGATAAAAAACTCAACTGGAATGCTCACTTGGAATGCTCACTTGGAAAAAGTTTTACACAAAGCCAGACTGTCCCTTGTTGAAGAATTTGTGGTAAAACTTGGGGTTTAGGTCCGAAATAAATCCATAGAATTTATGTGATGATTGTCAGACCAATGATCACGTATGGTTCAATTGCTTGGTGGCCGAAGGCTTTACAGAAAACGGCCCAAGCGAAGCTCTCTGGCTTACAGAGACAGGCTTGTCTGGCTATCAGTGGTGCCATCAGTACCACACCGTCAGCGTAGACGGAGATCTTTCTAGATCTACGTCCTCTCCACATTTTTCTGGAGAGAGAGGCTAGATGGACTGCATATAGACTTATGCACATTGCCAATTGCACAAATCAATTTAATGCAGAGTGCAACAGACTTAGTTGACAATGATAGTCACAGCCTTCTGGAAATAACCTCTGACTTCGTACCCCCAACTGTTAACTACGAACTGCCTTATGAAGTACTGTTCCTGAGTAGAGAGGACTGGGCCTTTCGTGAGGAGAAAATATTAAGAGTAGATAGTTGTTGGTTCACAGATGGATCAAAAACACCTTCCGGTTCTGGTGCAGGGGTTTTCAGTCGCAGACCCAGGACAGAGACATCAATCTGCCTAAAAACCTATGCGACTGTATTTCAAGCGGTAATTTACGCTATTGAATTGTATGCGGAGAGATTGGAAGAATCCAACTTCATACACAAGTCAATAACAATATTCTCGGACAGTCAAGCGGCGTTGGAAGCTCTTGGCTCCTAACGAGCAACGTCTAAATTGGTAGCCAATTGCCAAAAACGGCTCTCCTCGATAGGAAGACTTAACAGATTATCTCTGGTTTGGATTCCTGGCCATACTGGCCTGGAAAGCAATGAGTCTGCTGACTCCTTTGCCAAGGAAGATGCTGCAAGCAGCTTCATCGGGCCAGAACCTGTCATTGGCATCGCTTTAGGCTTTGCCGAACACCTGAACACCTGAACACCTGAATGGCTAGAAGATTTATGGATTTATGGCAGAATTTTCCAGGATTGGCTCACTCCAAGGGGTTCATTCACCGTTCCAAGCTTGCTACCAAACAGTTGTTGGAGTACAGTAGGGATGAACTAGGTACGTAGGGATGAACTACGATATCTAACAGGCCTTCTTCCAGGTCTCTTTCATTTGAATCATCATATGCAGAGACTAGGACTGTCGGAAGACCGTGTGTGTCACCTCTGTTTGAAAAATGATGAAACAGCAGAGCATTTACTTTGTGTCTGCCCCGCTGGGGACCGAATCCGGTTTTTAGAGTTTGGCAGAGCCGTACTCTTACCATCTGACGTAAAATACCACTCACAATTCAAACTATCCGGCTTCGTTAAGAAGCTGGGCTTATTTGGTTGAGTATGAATAGATGTGAGCCACAATGAATCCTTGCGGGTTGCGGTGGAGGGTCGAATAGACCCACTCACTTTGGACCTAACGTAACCTAACCTAAGCTGAAACTCTGTTACAAATTTGTATGTAAAATCATCAGAAGACACATTCGCTGAAGGAAAAAAATCGACAACCCTGAACGCACCAATGCCCCACTCAGCAAACCCAATGCATAATATGACCAGTTACTTGATGAGAATCAATAACACTATCTATGAATGAAGTGGATTCATGAAAACTAACCAACTTAATACATTGAATTGAATTCTGCAAAAGTTTTTAAAAATATATTGTTTCACATATACGCTCACTGTTCGAAAATCAAGGTGGAATTTTATTTTTCAGAAAAATGTCGCAGGGGCGCCAAATCTGGTAAAAACGATGGCTGAGGCATGATTATGGTGTTTATTTTAGCGATGCAGGATTTTGAGGTGAGTCTTCAAATAAGAAGGTGTAGAATTTATAACTTGGGAAATGTGTTCTTCCCACCCCAGATATTGGTCAATAACTAGGTACACCCAGATATTTTATGGACGTTGCACATAAATTTTGTCTTTTTTATATTAATACTCAGTAGGTTATTGTTGAACCAGATTTTTAATTTCTGTAGATTTCCCAACTCGATTGAAGATATTGTGCCAACAGTCATCTCTGAATATTAGCGCTGTGTCATCAGCGTAACAAAGTATATGGCTATTAACATTTTGTATTTGGGATATAGCGTTAATGTATATAAGGAACAGAATCGGACCCAAAACTGTTCCCTGTGGAACACCAATAGATATATTTAATGGTCCAATGAGTTGGTACCCGATTTTGACTATAAAATCTATTATGGCATTTCTGATATCATGCGACGGTTTTTTTGGTAAAAATTCAGCAATTTTGGAATGAACTTCGCTGTATCACGCTTCATGCCCAAAATTTCCGAAAATATTACATGACATGAGCCAGACGATATGCCAACATCCTCAGACACTTCTCTAATAGTGATTCGACGTGCCTCCATAACAATTTTCTTCACTTTCTCAACATTTTCAGCAATTGGTGATGAACTGTATGGAACTTTTGGTGTAGTAATGAGTATTACTGGAGTTTTTTCGCCACACCGAACCGTTATTTTAACACCTCTACACGTGTTTCGATCACCAAGTGATCATCTTCAAGAGGAAGAATAAATTATCAATCTTTCTCTTGAAGATGATCACTTGGTGAACAGTTTAGTCTTCCTTTGAACTATTTGATAATTTTTCGGTACGAGGTTTATTAAATTTTAGAATAACTTGAAGAAATATGTTAATTTCGATAAGAAGAGTCCTATGAAATTGAATCACCATCAGAGTTTGTGTACTCACCCATTTTTGTCTATGAGAAAACTGGATTTCTTGTGGAGATCATCATTTGGTGATCCGATGGAAATTTTCTCTGATATTTTATTCGAGTTTTCCTCTGCTCTAGATACACCTGTTGTTTGTTGTGCGAGTTTGCAGCGACAAGACATATTCCACTTACTTGAACAATTAATTCACGACAAATTTTGAAGTTTTAAAGTGTGTCAAATTGACATCAAATATGAAATAATTCACCTATACATCTCATTGAATCACACTTCAAGGAGTTGCGAGGTGTGATGAAATAATTGTGCAAGTTTTTAATTACTTTCAAAGACCGGCGACAGAAATTCACCATGAAAATAGATAAACTGCTCATTGGAAAGTATTTACTTTAAATACTTTGGAAACAAAGAGAAATTTGAAAACAATCAATAATTTCTTGACTACACCACCCTCGGAAATAACCCTCCATTCAGAACGATATCTATGTATCTGTATCTGTAGAGTAGGGAGAGTGAGTATAGGCTCACAGCACTTAGGCCACATGTGACCCATTATAAATCCTCCCGAGGAGTTGTCCTCCTAGGTCATCGTCCATCCTGTCCTTTCCGGGAAGGTGGACAGGTCGCTGGGAGACATCTCCTTTATATCGGCAGGTGTAGGCCAAGACTCGCCGAACACACACTCTCTTATTGACGATAACTCCGGGCACTCGCACAGGACATGCCTGACAGTCTCATCTTCCTGTTCACACATCCTGCATAGAGGTGTGTCCACTAGCCCCGTATTATGTAGGTGTTTCCTTAGCTGACAGTGGCCAGTCAGAAATCCAGTCGCCGTTGCTCATAAGCCATATATGCTCTTTTTGCTCTACTCTGTAGATGAGAGTTTCATGTAAGCTTCCTGTCGAGGATAGTACGAAGGTATTTCACCTCCTCAGAGAAGTTTAGTTTACTTTCGAAGATTTAGAGAGGTTTTAAGACCGATAAACTTCTTTTCTTTTCCTGGTGAAAAGGACCATCTCAGTCTTCTTGGAATTGATCGACAGTGAGTGTTCTTTACACCATGTTTCTATTAATTTGAGCCCATCCTGCGCTCTATCGCATAGTGTGTTCACAAATTTGCCGGTCTGCAAGATAACTATGTCATTTGCATATGCAATTGTGTAGAATCCATTATTGTTGAGGTGAATAATCAGGGTATTCAAATTTGGAAGTTTAATCTTCCTCTTGAAGACGATCACTTGGTGATAAAAACACGTGTCAAGTTTGGTATTGAGATAAATTTCTAGTAATATTCATTACAATATATCAAGTTCAGTTGAAACTTCTGATTTTTCTTGTTTTTTGAAAAAGCGTTTCTAAAGGAAACACTTTCTAAGTTTTCTTGGCATTGAACCGCAGATATCCGCTTCAATTATTGATAACCTCGAAACCTGTCTATAGGTGATCTACTTGATTGATTTCAGCGTGGTCCTGCAGCAGGATGCAGGAGAAACTTCTGCAAGACATCTCTGTGCGGAATTTTGCAAAAATATATGCCAAATATAATTCAATAATCAGTATGTATTGTTATGAATCGTTACCTGAAAAAAATAACGCCGGCCGCCGCTGGTCGTCATAAATCAATTGTGACGTGGTCAAAATCGCGCTCAACTCGACGTGGGCTTCGCGCTTTTTCTAGTTAGCTGCCGCGTCGCTCCTAAGTTCCCTATTGGCTTGAGAATAAGTCTACCAGCTTCCATTGGCATATACAGTGTCAACATTAAAGTGCGCACCATATGGGAATTTTTTTTTTCGAAAAGTTTCAATGGAGTTCAACTTCGGCACTTGTTTGTGCTTTAAATTTAACTAAAAATGATCCGGCCAACTGCGACCCATTGACGTTCAGTGTTTGTCAAATTCAACTTTTTTTTGAAAAAAAATGAAACTTTGCACCAATCATGTTAAACTTTTTATAGCACATTTTTAATTTCTTTCTAAAAATGTCGGTATGAGTAAAAATTTATCAGAAAAGTTAAACTTCATGATAAGTTTGTTATGTATACATGAATTGATGACAATTAATCGAACTTGTTTTTTAAAATAAAGGGGATATCTGTCAAAAATAAGCAGAACGTTAACTTAATTCTAGTTGCATAAAATTTGGCACATGGATATAAAATTGCCGTAGACACAACTTTTTCAAGTAACTTTTTGTTAAATTCGATCTAGAAATGCACTTTTTCAATTTTTTTCAAAAAAAAAAGTTGAATTTGACAAACACTGAACGTCAGTGGGTCGCAGTTGGCCGCATCATTTTAAGTTAAATTCAAAGCACAAACAAGTTCCGAAATTAAACTTCATTGAAACTTTTCGAAAAAAAAGTTTCCCATATGGTGCGCACTTTAATGGTGACACTGTATAAATGCTACCCACACCTCACTCGGGAAGTTAAGTGACAGTGCCGTGCGGAGTGAATTCAAATAAGGCGATAGACATTTGAATATTAGTTTGAAGTTTTAGTCAAAGTGTTCGGTTGTATCAATAGTGAAATAAAGTTGAGTTGAGTTTGTATAGTGTAGTAAAATTATTGTCAAACCCACGAGAACAATGTAACAGTATGTATCTCTCCTCGATACAGTTTTATTGATTTTGATTTTTTTCTCACAGTTGATTGCCTAAGCTACTCATTGCAAGTGAATAATATTCATTCAGTTGTATATATTTTATTGCGTATTAGAATGCGAATCAGTGTTTAAGACGCTTTTAGAAACTCACAGGGTAGAAAATTATTCAAAATATAGTATTTCGTCATTAACGATGTGAACTAATTATGTTTTGAATGTATTTATGGAACTGATAAGAAAGTTTCTCTCAATCCTAACCACTTTGAAAACACGTTAATGATATCATATCAGTGTTTGTGTAATATATCGCAATCCGCTGGGGTCTTAATAAACATATCAGCGAATGAATTGACAAATCATTCATCACACAACTTTTTTTTTAGTTTTGGGGTCAAGGGGCCAGTTAGTAAAACAAGCCATTTAAATCAACTATCCAGATATTAAAAATTTTCCAGTTCGCACCGTTGAAGGACACAAAAGAAAGGATGATTTTCGGATATATTTTTGACCCTCCCGTAGTGTCGTTGCAGGGCAGATTACATCAAGGATTATTCTCTGGCTCAGTGCGTGATGCCCGAGCGGTTCATGAAACTTGCGGGGGTTACTAATTTCATAGCTTTCAACATCGCAGGTGGCTTGGCCCCCTCCTTCCTGGTGGGTGATATCATGCTCTGAAGGGATCATTCGAATGTGATATTTTTTGGGGGAAAAAATTCCCTCGTAGGACCGAACNGCTTGTATGTTTCGGATAATATATCTGAAACGGACGTATTTTATAAAACTTGTCAAAATTGGCTGTATGTCTGCCTGGCTGTACTGAGTTATCATTGAGATGTATGTTCTATCAAGAACGATATAACGATAGCACTAACTTCTCAGGGCAGTGCAATTAGTCTTGCTGAATGACAATAGCGATGGTATTCGGTAAATTCGTCTTGGACTTGATACCAATGAGTCAACAGGATGCGATGCGAGTTTTTTTAACTTTTTTTCTGGTCAACCTGACCAAGCACGTAGAAAAATACTTTTTGAAAAATTATATACCTATTATGCTCCATCCTGAGATTCTCATAATGAGTGGAGTCTATCGTAGTTGAAGATAACGATGTAATTTTGTATTCTAAACTGTTTTTGCGATAAAGCATCGCTATTAAATTGATCAGCTACCACTCATAATGTAATGATCTATTAGTCAGAAACACAACATTTCTGAATATATTTGTATTGATATCTGAGAAATTATCAAAGATGATGAAATATATATTCAAGGTACTTATATCCTCTTATGGTTTATTTTATTGATTCTAGAGATTATTTTTAGGATAATTTTTAATTGATAAAAGGTGTACGTTCAAATTATGTTTACATACTGTCATTCAAGCATTTATTTATAATAAACTGTTCCTGGCGAATGTGTGGGCGTAGCTAGTTTATGATATTTCATTCAGACTACTATAATTTATTTAATTTTAAATTTCATTCCAATGTGGGTTGAGGATGACTGTGGAAAAAATGTAATTACTTATAATAGGACTGTATTATCAGAATGGAATAGAAGAATCCAAGCAATAATCATTCTGAAGGTTGTGTCGACTTCGAGCATAATGGATTATTATGTCAGTAGATTCAATTATAGAGCTATAAATCAATTGAAATTGTACCTTGAGGCGGCAAAAATGAAATAGGATGTAATATATTCCAAAATCCATATAGATATTAGATGAAAATTTTATATTTATGGATTCAAATTGCACCACTGGTACGCTGCTGAAACAGCCCAAAAAATCCACCAGGTATTTGGCAATGATACTGTTAATGAACGTACTGTTCGAGGTTGGTTTGCGAAATTTCATCTCAGTAATTTAAGCCTCGAAAATGAGCTCCAGAGTGGTCGACCTACAGAAATCCAGGATGAAAATTTGAGAACCCTGGTGGAGCCTGACCCATCACAAATGGCGCGTAGGATGGCGGTAGAACTGGGCGTGACATCCCATGCGGTATTTGATGGTTTAAAACCTATCTGTATCTCTGTATCTATAGAGTAGGGAGAGTGGGTGTAGGCCCACAGCACTTAGGCTACATGTGAGCCATTGTACATCCTCCCAAGGAGTTGTTCTAGGTCATCGTCCGTCCTGTCCTTTCCAGGAAGGTAGACACGTCACTGGGAGACATCTCCTTTATATCGGCAGGTGTAGGCTAAGACCCGTCGAACACACACTCTCTTTTTGACGATAACTCTAAACACTCGCATAGGACATGCCTGACAGTTTCATTTTCCTGTTCACACATCTGTTTAAAACCTATTGGAAAGATCAAAATTTCGAGTGGGTTCTTCACGTTTTCAACGATCGATCCGTTAGAAGGCATGCTCTTCTTTAATTTTGCGCAACCAAAACGATTCTTTTTTTAATCGCATCGTCACGTGGAAAGTGGACCTTTTACGTTCAGCGCAGTGGTTGGACATCGATAAGCCACATAGGCACTTCCTAGAGGCGAAAACTCTCAAAAAAGACCATGGTTGCTTTATGGTGGTCAGCAGCTAGTATGATTTACTATAACTTTTTGCAATTGGGC